GTGTGTGTGTGTGTGTGTGTGTGTGTGTGTGTGTGTGTAAGTCTCATGTGAATTTAATGTTGTTTTAACACTTTCAGTGTGTTTATTGAGCAGTTTAAAAAGTATTGGTTTATTTAAATATATTTTTACATCTAAAGTGAGAGTTGGTGTTCAGATTGTTTGGTATTAAGTGACATCTTATTGTGAGAGCATAAATAAAACAAAAAACTTACATCTTCTTTTCCAAATAATTTTGGTCAAAGTCTTTGATCAGATTTGTGTTTCATCAAGGTAAGAGYAAAATCAAATCATTAAAATTGAATTAAAATCGTATTGTCAGCATTTTCTCTACTGTTGGTTTTACTTGTGTCCATTCTAGAAATTTAGTTCTAAATGAGGATAAAAACAGGTCCAAACTTTACTCTGTGTGTTGAAAAGAGGTTCCCAGGTTGGGATCAGATAATAGTCTATAAAAGAGATCAAWTATCTTCTGTATTATGTATTGGATAATTATTGGATAGTCCTTGTTTATTTGGCTAACTGGTGGCATTTTTTTGTTTTCAGCAGGCAATTTTTGTCATCTTAAGTCTCTGAAACTCTTATTTTTTTGGTCAGAAAGTAAAAGATTTGCACTATAAGGATGAACCCTGGCTATCCAGGTGCTTTGTGTTGCTTTGTTTCAGAMAAATAATTGCGAAACACAAGGTATTTTATTAGATCTGTTTGGAAAGATKATACGTTCAGTGATAAAATCATCCATAATACCATCTAAGTGCAGATTTCACATATTTGAGACAGTAAYAAATGTGTTCACAGAAACAATGCAGCTCATATTTGGTACAAGAACATGCAGTCGTTGCTGCAAGAACAGGACTTGTATATTTTACAAAGTATAATTTCTTTCTTTCCATTACAACCATTKGATTCCTTTTTGTCCTACCTAACATTTGCTTGTGCTCGTACGATCCTCGGCAGAGCTTTCAGTGATGCTGCTGTTAAATGTGTGTTTGGCAGACTGACAGTCTGAGCGGGAGGCTGACAGGAAGTGCACGTGAGACCGAGGAGGTTTTACTGCAGGTTCAGACAGTGAGAAAGACACGCACCATGAATGAAATGCCAGCAAACTGTTTGTTCTGCTCATTATTAAAACACAAACTGAGAAGATCACCTGAAATTCAGCCATTTTTGTCTAACATGCCTCAGAGAAACCAGATGAATAAACCTTTGCTAATTTATTGGATTTTTTTACTGTTAATCCTTCAAATTTACCCATTTTTCGAAGTGCTGTGCAGTTCAAATGTGTAAGAATGATTTTTACTGTGTCTCCAGACTGCATCTTAGCGGTTGTGAGGAACTTTCAGCTTCTATCAATATTTCATTTGCATTAAAGCTGGAACACAAACCCTTCATCAGCAAATATTTCTGCCCCACGTCTCGTCTCGGCTCCGTAAAATATTGATGACTTTGCTTATTGTYTCGATTACACGTGACAAGTTAGAGTTAGCTCATTATAACTATTTTCATTTAAAATTGATGCAGTTTAGGCAAAGGTTTTTCTATAATTTACCACAGATGAACAGAGGCAGAGCTAGACTTTTTTGCAAACGGTGCCCGAGGCGTATTCTAGAGCAGTGTTTCCCAATGTTGGGGTCGGGACCCAAAGTGGGGTCCCAAAACATCAAGGTGGGGTCCTGAAA